TGCTAACTAATCGCCATGGAGGAGTACCCGATGTTCACTCTTCTGGTTCTGACCGTGATATGGCTGCCCCTCATCCGAATGATTTTCCCCTTAGGATTCTTCAGAATGAGCCATTGCGCCATGAAAAAGTTGACGGATGGCACAATCGTGTTAGAGCCAAGGGATGAGGGGCATGACGAGAAGCAGAGGAAGGTGGAGGAAGCAGAAGAAAGTAAAAACGAATAAAAAGAGATGGAGGAGAAGAAAAGATTGGAAGAAAGTATGAGGCTGATGGAAGCAGAGGAGGAGGAGAAAGAAGAAGGAGAAGAGAAGAAGAGAGAAGGAGAGGGGATTATGACCATGGTAGTCAAAGAGGAAGTGGCAGGTACAGGCGAACGCTGGCCTAGTCTGATCAGCATACGTTAGGCAGAAGAAGAGAAATGGTTGGGGACATTTAGGTTGCCAAAGGAGAAGAGCCTGGCAGATCTCCAAGAGGAGGAGGATGCATATCACGCTGCCCTGCCCGCCGCTGATTCTAAGGAGCGACATATGTTGGAAGATGAGTAGCGGATTGAGGGACGAGGAGGGCCATGGCGCAGAAAAAGAGAGAATTTGAGACAAAGAAAAAATTATTGGCGGATGGGGCGATCATAGCTGATAGGCTGAAGGAGCACGCTAAGGCCAAGAGTGAGAATGAGATAGACAATAAGATAGCCCTCCTCACTGAAGCCGCCCTCCATGCTGCAAATTAGACTGCTGCCCTGTGTCAGTGTAGAGACAGTCGCTGCAGGAGGAGTTTAAGGACAAATGGAACAACTTTGCGACTGCAACCCTCCAAAAGGTTAACGAAAAGACTGCGGAATATGCATGTGGAACAAAATTATAGCAGAAGATTAAGGGGGCCTACAATGAGATTATAGGGAAGGTGTAGCAGACACCACATGAAGTCCCGGATTACCGCATAGCCATTGGACTGTTGGTTGAAAAGACTGATGTGGATGACCATTTGTGTGTCCCAAATAATGAGGCAGTACGCAGTTTGATCTTCGGGGAATGTCATGATTTTAAGGGCCACTTCGGATAGAGGAAGACTTATGCTAGCCTCCTACAGCCCCACACTTGGGTTGGAATGAAATATGATTGTATACTATATGTTGAAGGCTGCAAGGTATGTCAGAGGAACAAGATCTCCACGCAGCATCCCCCTGGTCTATTGAAGCCATTGCCTATTCCCTCGGGTAATGAAAGTCCATGGGTCCAAACTCGCTATGCCATCAGGTAGACACCCGAGGACTAATGAACAGATTGAACAGATGGACAAATTGCTACAGCAAGTGCTTCGCATGTATATTAGGCCGGACCAAGTAGATGGGGATGAGCACCTGCTTCACGTAGCCAATGCCTATAACAACTCGGTTCACCTAGCAACGAATGTTACACCTAATGAGTTGCACAAGGGGTGGCGCCCCAGACACCCTATCAATTGCCTGAATCCTTATCAGATTCAGAGACTGCCACCTGACACTAAAGAGTTTGCAGTGCATTATGAGGAGGAGCTGCAGCAAGTCGCTGAGAAGATCAGGAAGGCTCATCATCAGATGGTGGAACAGGCCAATAAGCATCACAGGCCTTCCAAGTTCGTTGTTGGTGACTTAGTCTGGGTTAAGTCCAAAAAATCCCTCCTGAAGAAGGTATGTCTAATAAACTCCTACCTGCGTATACAGGACCATGGGAAATATTGGATGTCATCGGAGATTCGGACAGTCCCTCCTACACTGTAGATCTACCGGTACATCTACATACCCAGTTTTTCATGTTTCTGAGCTACAGCTCTGTGTAGTAAACGATAGGTTTCCATCATGTAGATCTATGATTCCGCATGACATGGATGGTAGATATGGTATGGACAGAATTATTGATGAAGATGTCTACAGATCAGGCTGAAGGGGCAGACCCAAGCGTCAGTACAAGGTTAGATTTGCCTATGAAGAACCTGAAGATGATCGCTGGTATACCAAGGATGAATGAACAGAAACAGCACCAGTCATAGTATCTCACTAGGCGGGACTGGAAGGATTTCACGCTGCATACATGCCCAGAGTCCTGGTATCAGAGTCCCTTTTGGGTCCAGTCCCAGTCTGTCCTAGTCCAACTAAGTCCCAGAACGTCGAGTCCCAAGGTCAGTAAGGTCTCATAGGGTCGAAGGGTAGAAGCATCACAGTCCAGTAGGATCCTCAACCGAAACGTCACAGACTGGTAAAAGTCTGCCGGTCCATTCCAGTCCCAAAGTCCAATTTTGCAGCAGCGTCCCAAGAAAGTCCGGAGACTTCCGGAATGAAAAATTCATGCAGCAGACAGGCCTCGGGCAACCGGCAACACAAGTCAGCGAGAGCTGTGTATAGCTGCTACAGTGCCAAGCGTAGTTAGTCGTTCATTCACGAGTTGCGGAAGCGCTGCTGGGTGCTTCTGTGACAGTGCGGCTTGGGCGGCGTGCACCAGAGGGGGTAGTCGGCACCGGAAGACAATCAGAGCTAGGGTTGAGTAGTGGGAGGAGGCAGCCATAGTCGCGGAGGTTGAAGACAAAGCAAGCTGGTGTATTCAGGATACATCGTAGTAGGTGTGTGTGTGAGAGAGAGAGAGCATTGAGGCGAGCGATAGAAATGTTGAGCAATACAAGTCAGGAGAATACCTGTCTCTTATACACATCTAGATGTGTATAAGAGACAGGAGAGAGAGAGAGAGAGAGAGAGAGAGAGAGAGAGAGAGAGAGAGAGAGAGAGAGAGAGAGAGAGAGAGTCACACCACCAAAGGAGAGGGGAGTCGGGTTGTAGTAGATGTGTGCGGCCAAGGCCGCCCAACACTCGAACTCTTTCATTGTATAATATAATAATTGGGTGCAGTTCTTTGGTGCACTGATTTGCATTTCATCTTTCGGCTCCATGTGTGAACTCTCAAGTGAATGTTCTGCTTGTGCTCTTCCAGTTTCGGTGTTGAATTGGGAGGTTCATTGCACTCTGAACGGGCTCATTGAATATTCCATTTCATCCTTTTTGCATCAGTTCATGCACAGATTCACTTGACATGATGTTTGGACTATGGAGCTGATTTCCCAAGTCCAAATGGCCAGAGACTCAGAATCCGTGTTCCAAGTTTCAAAATTCTGGCGCGACTTGCCCATCGTAAAACCTCACTGGACTTCACGAACTTCCCAGTCGACAGCTGCGGGGAGATCATTTACGGCCGTAAATGGTTCTGTGGACAAGCTTGGATGGATCAGGGTCCTGACTCCTGGCCCTTAGCCCTATCTGTGGTTACAAAAAAACAATTCACAACAAACCCCCCCCCCCCCCCCCCCCCCCCCGCCCCCCCCACACCATTACACCTCATACTACAATCAGAATGACGTTTAGGATGATACTACCATAAGTATATCTGTTTATAGCAAGCGCCTTAAGCTATAGGACAGGTACTTGCTGTGCTGTATCACAGTTGTGCCTATGGACAAGTATAAAGTACAATAAACTGGGGCCAAAAGTCCTTCCTATCCCATTAGTGGCGATCACTACTAATAGGGTTGAATAGTACAGCAGTTGGCAACTTAGTAACATAGGATGCATTTTTAGTTATGGGTTAGGCAGCTATGGACAAGTACAAACAGGGGCCAAAAGTCCTTGTTATCCGCTTAGTGGTTGTATCGTCGCTGATAGGGTAGAGAATAGTATAGCAAGTTGGCAACTTAGTAAGACCGCAAGTATTTTTGGCGACAGAATAGCTAGGACGTGTGTATTTGTGAGGTTTTTGTATGCATGTGTAGTGTCTTCAGTCAACACGATACACCAACAACGCACCTATAGGCCATAGCACTAAACAAATGGATACTAGTTTCATCACTCCTGGTGGCACAATTCTGACAAAACTTTGAGAGCTAAGTCAGGTGTTCAGTGGCAGCAGTGTTGGGCACAAGCTCATTGTAAACTGTTGTAACATGTGCTAGCTTTCATAACTGCCAGTAACTATGATAGAGTGGTACCCGCAGTGACCGAGATAGCACCGATGGTAACATAGCCCCAGCAGTAAGATTCGTAGCAGTGGCAGCCTTGGCGGCTTCCTGTGCTTGCCCACACTGACCCTGGTTACCAGAGTTACTGTGGTAACTTCAGTGACCAAGATAGCACCCATGGTACCATAGCCAGAACAGTAACTTTAACGGTGGCAGCCTTGGCAGCCAGCTTAATGGTATTTAATGTTCTAAGTTCTAACTATGGTAGCAACTGTAACTTCACGAATGATCATAGCCGTGGTAACTTGGTCATCACTGGTGAGTGGGGTTGCCGTGGTGAAACGTTCTGCGCGGGCTGTGGCAACTATGGACTATTGCTGCAATAGAACCCATGGTAATCTTGGTGACTGCAGCAACCATGGTTATGTTGGTAGCACTGTTAACTGTGGTTACCATGATAGCCCGGTTAAGTGGGGTTGCTGTACTCACCACCGTTTCTTGCCGGGCCCGACTGGTGCTACATTCATATTTAGAAAGCATGAACCTGGACATAAAAGTAGCCAGATCCGTGCATTCATAGCAAGAACATAGCACGAGTGGGCCCTGGTCCTTACGGTGGTAGCCAAATTTGGCATGGTTACATAAGCTACCATTTATTCCCACTGGAGTTCAGGTGGCCCAGTTGAAAAAGCTGGTATGTTTGCTGATAAGATTTTTTAATGTTTTATTATTGTTATTATTATTTTTGTTATCTGCTGATAAGAATTCTGTTTGTAACATCACATCACTTGAGCAGTGATAGGCAGAAGGGTGATGAACCGCTCCTGCGGTCTTGTCCGAGTGTGCGTTGTTGTATTCACTGTGACAGTAAAGCCTAGTACGACATTGCACAGTATGATGTGTATATACTATATTTACTATATTAGTATATTCTGTTCGTAACTTTGTATTGTTATTTAGAGCTTCTAATCACCAGGGTAAATCAAAAAATTGTTTTGCAACATGGTTATCGGTTGTGCAGCTGGCAGCAGCATCAATCGTCAACCCGCTAAACCAGCTGGCACGTTACCAGGTGGCGTTGCTGTTGAATGACCAGGTATTCTTGTTCCGATTGTCTATTTCAGTGTTTCCATTTCGCTGTTGTCATTTGGTTTTGCTGTTCTCATGTCTCCTTAATGCAAAAAAAGCAGTTTTATAATAAACTCTCCTTGAGCTTTCCCGGGGCGTCCGGCCGGGCGCCCCGGGCACCCCGGCCGGGCGCCCCGGGCACCCCGCCCGGGTAGGGACCATGCCTGGGGTACCCCGGGCATGCAAAAAACCCACCAAGTGTTTTTTGTTTTTTTTTCTTTTAACCGCCAGACCTTGCCGCACTTTGTTAGGAGTGCCCAAATCCAGCCTCTTTTTTTATTTTCATGCATGTTGATTTCTGTGGGTTGAAGGGGGGGAGGGGTTGCAGGAGGGGGCGAATTCGAATCCTGTATCAGCGCGCACCACGGCCAGAATCCCCCCAAAAATTAAAAACCTGCAAAACGGGGCCTACCGGACCCCCCAAAAAAATGCACCGACCGCCAAAGACAAAGTTGGCACGTTTGGAATAGGGCTGTGGCCAAAAAAAGAAAAATTGAGGCTTTTTCTGCCTTGGTGCGAGAGGCGCCCGGGTGCCTGCTCGGGGGGGTCGCCCGGCCAGGCGCTCCGGGCGCCATTCCGGGCATGGTGGGGTACCCCGTGCGCCCGGGGTGGAAAGCTAGACTCTCCTTTTTTTTCTCTGTCTTTTTATGTTTTCCAACTTTTCCATTTTTTTTCCTTGAAAAAGCATGTCGTTATGGGCCTGGCTCCCTATCCATTCTGGGGAGCACCCACCCGGTTCCTATCCACCGGCAAGTAAGATATTTTTAAATTTGTTCTTTACTTTCCTTTTGTTCTGTTCTTTTAAAAAAAGAGTGACAGCCTTGAAAATTGAAATATCATGGTGGAACTGGCAGGCACGCCCTCGACAATCTAGGAATTTTGTTCATCTGGTTCCGTCTGGATTCGAACTCAGGTCTGCATTTCAACGGTTTATGGGTGTAACAAATGAGCGAAGCCTGTTGGTACCGTCGGCAAGTTAGATATAAATACACAGAGTAACTCAACCATGCTTCCTTCTGTGTGACGCCGAACGACTCCTCGACTGAACTGATTACTCCCGTAAGTCGAGGATCGACTGTCATCAAAATCACCATCAAACACTTACTGTAATCTCATGTAATCTTATTCTAAGGGACACTGGGCGTGTTTCCCAGCACGTGCTGCTCCCCACAAATAGATTGGAGCTTCTTTTTTCTCTATCTCTATACTACTAAAGCAAACAAAGGGCCCGATGACATGCCCTGTCGCGGGCCCAGCGAAAATCGTTGGAGCCGGGCGGTACCGGTAGGAGGCGGGGACAGGGCGGGAACCAGGTAGGGACACAAAACCGAGGTGGGGGCCGTGCGGGGCAGGCCGGCGCGACGAAATTGGCCGCGGCTGGCGTGAAGGGGGACGCAAGGAATGGCTGGGCGGCGCGGGCGCAAAAACGGAAGCGGGCGGGGCGGCATCAGGCCGAGTTGCGAAGCGACCAGCGCGACCGCGGCGAGCGGGACCGTTGCGAGCCACACACACACACACACACACACGAACGATTCGTTCCGATTTTGCTAAAAAAAGTGGCAGTCATGAGGTCGGAGAGTTATCGTCTCTCTCTCTCTCTCTCTCTCTCTCTCTCTCTCTCTCTCTCTCTCTCT